TAGATGAACAAAGGTCAAGGCAACAAAGCGGCACAAAATATTTCACGGCTAATTTAAATAGCAATGTTTAGCGACACTAAAGCTTGATTAGCTATATTAGCACAACAATTGTCGTGATAGACAATCCAAAAACACTATAGTGTACGTGACCCATAGCAGACGGAATCTAGAAACTGACCACATTCCTTATTCCACAAACATCAATCAGGGAACAATAACGTTTCCATGGTGTAAAAATGATCCAGAGTAATGTATCCTATCACGTTTTTTATTATCATTCCTTGTCCTTGGGATCCAAGAACACGGCTGCTAAGATTGCCGTTATATAAATATAGCCCACTATTTAGAACCTGGCTAAAAATTAAATCGGTGATGGAAATTTGTCGTTGTGTTTTACACACACCACCCCGCAGATGGCAGGAGCGTCAGTGCGTCACTGCATGGGTATGCAGTGACTGTAGATATGTATATGCACAATTGAGGCTCGCTCTGATCCCCGTCAGATAACGATGATGAACGAACAATGCACTCACGTCACGGCTACTCGTCAGCAGAGCCGAACAATTGCCTCAAGTTGCGTAAAGCCGTGTTTAGTTGGATCCCAAAGTTCAAAAAGTTGCTACAGTACCTGTCATATCGAATATTTGTGGCCCGTGCATGGAGTATTAAATATAGACGAAAATAAAAACTAATTGCACAGTTTGGTGGGAAAATTGCGAGACGAACGTTTTGAGCCTAATGAGTCCATGTTTGAACACTATTTGCCAAATAAAAACGAACGTGCTACAGTAGCCCCAAAATCCAAATTCACCCAATTAAACAAGGGCTAACTTGTTTAGACTTTGGCGGATACTGACACAAGCGCGCGGATAAGATAAGATAAGAATTGAGTTTTTTTAGATAAAGAGAATAAGAAAAGCAGCTAGAAGTAGAGAGAATATTACTATTAATAACGGAACAGTATCAAATGATTATCAGGGCACTGGAATCTGAACGCGTGCATGAGAAATGATGAATGAAATGAAAGAGATAGGAGGAAGAGGGAGAGAATTAAAGAAACCATCTGGAAACTCATGGCAGGAAAACTAGCTTGGAGACTTTGACCAAAGACTTAGGGCGATGGCAGAAATTGTCAAACCGATCGATCCCGGTGTACTCGCAAAACAAAAAACGAAAGCGTCAGGTCGAGAGGTGATGCATCTGCAGACGTTTGGGGTTCATTTGGCGTCGCCGTGGATTGGTTGGACCGGAATCATCCATGGGCGGGCTGCACGTACCACCGATTTTTTTACTTTTTAACACCCTTTTTTTAAGTTTTTCACAAATAGGCTTCTGGAGAAAAGATTTCAGAATCTAGACCCTCATCTGGCGCCGAGCTAACACGTCTCGACGCCAGCGTCCCTGGCGTCGAGCTCCTGGGCTCGAAGCGAACGTGGAGGTGACATGGCAGGAAGCTCGACGCCAGTTACCCTGGCGCCAAGCTCAGCGCCGTAGATCTTGGCGTCGAGCTCGGCGCCAGTCACACACTGGCGCCGAGCTTGTATTTTAACCCCGGCCCCAACCTTCCTGCCCGAGCCTTCTTCCTCTTATTTCTCCTCCCTCTCGGGTTTTTTTCTCTTCCCACTTCGCCCTACCTCACGAATCGACATATTATACCTTGGAAGCTTTGATTTGATCCGTAGATCTTCGAGAGCAAGGTATCCTCGCTCCCCTCCTAGTTTTTTTTTCCGCATCGATTCGGTATATATTAGTCGGATTTTTCAACCTAAGAATCGTCATTGCTTAGGGTTTCATTCTATCCCTCAATATTTATATTATACAACCGTAGGATGATGCCAAGGCGTGAAAAAGCTAGCAAACCTAGGCACATATAGTTATGTTATGGGTTCATTGTTGTGCATCAAATGGAAAACCCTAGGTTTAGGTTTTAATGTTAATTGTTTTCGGTTCTTAGAACGAAATTGGTTGAATTGTAGTTATGGTTCTCATTGACACTTATTTGTGATGTTTTGATTTATGTTTGTTAAATTACATCCGTTTTGTTAGATGCGAGAAATATTTTGGGAGGAGTTTTGGCGAAAACGGGGTCGTCCTCGAGAATTATACCCCGACGCGTCTAGCAAAGATGCCCCCGTCCCTCCTGACCTCCCTGTCCCTAACTGTGACTGTGGTTTCCTGGCCCATGTTTTTTAATCGAAACATCCGGACACAGCGGCGCGGTGCTTCTACACATGCAGTTGTTTAATGTAAGAAATTGTGTCACTATCTTTTTTCTTTATTTGTGTAAGTATGCTACTAATATTTTGTTGGAATCTCATTGTGTAGGATCATGAGAGGTGTCTTTTCTTTCAGTAGATCGACGGTGCAGACAAGTTTGATGCTAGGTACCTCATTTTCGACGATTGGTTTAGAGGGAGACATCCACATGAGCACTTCAAGTGGTGGGTTCCACCCCTCTTAACCCTCCACCAATGATGGCTAAGGAGAAGTACCTATCCGCAGTTAGACGACTCGAGGAACCTCCTCTGTGCGATTGTAGAGATCGAGCTGTGATAAACCCTGAAAATACGTTGGAGTTTCTGTGTCCAAACGAGCATGAAGTAAGCGCAAAGTGTATGCGTTGAAATCTTGAGCTATGTGTGTTCATGTACTAATGTCTCCTTATTTAGGTGTTTTCAATGGCGAAGTGTCGTTTCAAGGAGTGGTTGTATGGTCCTAAGAACCAATGGTCGGAAAAACCGCGAAAGGTTAAGGAAAAGAAGAAAGAAAGGGTAATTTACAAAGCACCTCCTGCCATGTGCGAATGTGATGTTAAATCCAACTATGGCCTAGTCCCTTCAGAGCTTGGAATAGGCCATTATTGCGGCCATATGGTTGACTATGATGAGGTTAGTTATTTTTGTGGTAAACATGAAATCGTATTTTATTTTTTTTGCTAAGACATATATGATATAATTTTTCATTTGAACAAAGCACTAGCAAATGCAGGTGGGAATGTTATGATGGTCAAGCTAAGTTCTTGGATGAACTGAAGGAGAGGCAAGTAATTGCACGAAAGAGGGGATATGGACCTGACTACGTCAACCTAAGTTCTTGGATGTGTTCATGTTATAATGGTCAAGCTTAGTTCTGATGGTCAAGCTAAGTTCTTGGATGTTATGATTGACCATATATTGCACGAAAGGTGGGAATGTTATGATGATCAAACTAAATTCTTGGGTGTGTTCATATACTAAGGCCAGGGCAGGAAGGTTGGGGCCGGGGTTACGAGCTCGGCGCCAAGATCTACGGCGCCGAGCTCGGCGGCAGGGTGACTGGCGCCGAGTTTCCTGCTATGTCACCTCCACGTCCGCTTCGAGCCCAGGAGCTTGGCGCCAGGGACGCTGGCGTCGAGACGTGTTAGCTCGGCGCCAGCATCAATGGCGCCGAGCTAAGGGTCCAGATTCTAAAATCTTTTCTTCAGGGATCTATTTGTAAAAAACTTTCAAAAAATAGACTAAAAAATAAAAAATTCGGCACGTACCAGGCCCTAGTCCAACCAATACTACAATAGTCCATGTTGGGGTGTCGCGGGACCTAAGGTCGTGATGGTCATGGCATGGCACGCGTAGATGCCGCTCGGAATGAAATGGAACACAACTGACCCGGCCCGCCGCCCCGGCCAGGAATGATGAGCCGTTCTCCGCACGTTTCCTAGCTAGCTAAGCTATCCCAAAAGAAGCCGGCATCGCCCTCTCGCGGACGGAGCTATGTGTGCTACGATATGATTATCATATATATGGAGTGCCCCCGTCTCGTGACTTTGTGTCAACTCCAAGCTTGCGTTCCATTTATTATTATTTTTTCATTCCACTAGCTAGATCGATCGAGTTTGGTACTTGACAGTTGACACGCACGCACATTTCTTAGTTTATCATATGGGATAGTTTTTTTAATATATGAAACCATGCAACCAACTTACAAATAACTTGACCTGGGTAGTTGGGATGGTTTCATTCACAGTGGAGCATACAATTGGAGAGCTAAACTAAGATATCCCCAACACAATATGCAACAATAACCTACGGAGTACTCCTCCATCATGTCTTCATCCATGACGGCAAAATTCTTTTCCAGAGAAAGAAAAGTTGATGACCGCGTAAGAATTATTCAAAGTCCTTCCTGATACAGTTGCATCCATTTTTTTTCCACCCAGCTAGGTCGTCTTCGCTCTGTTCTGTAGCGTACCATTTCCATACACGTGACGTGCCTACGCGTTCCTCACAGTCACGGACGATGAACCTGTAAAACCGATGCTGCGTATGTGTGCAGATGAAAGCGGACAAAGACGCGGCACCTTGCACACCAGTTTCTTCTTCCCAGCTGATAGCTGAAGGCCTGAAGCTTCGGTGGAGTTTGTGGGCAACACGGGAACAGTTCACACCCACACGCTACCCCCACCCACCCTCCATGGCTGGGCCCCGCCGAATCACCCACCAGATGCCGTGAAGCGAACTCGTCGTCCCTGTGGACGTATCAGCAAGGAGACCGGGCGGGCGTGACGGGAGATACCGCTCCGGGCCCCACCGCGCAGCCACCGTGTCGGTCGCCTCCTCGTCGTGGTGGTCGAACTAGTCGCCTACTCCTCCCCACGACCCCACCGCCACGCCGCTGGAACGGTCCCACCCCACTCGGCACCTGCAACTGCCTGCCCCCCTCGATTGAATTCTCCCAAGTCCCAACTCGCCGCCAGTTCGGTCGCATCGCAGTCGTCTTCTTCCTCCCCTTCGCTTCCCCCAAAAGCCAACGCAACCGCTTCCCTTCCTTCTCCGCCTCTCCTCCCTCCAGGCAGGCCGCAGGCTCCACCACCGCCTCCATTCCGCCACCTGACTCACGACTCCCCATTCCACCCCGCGCAACCCGCAGTGTTTGGAGGGAGCGAGGCGGGGGGACCTCCGATCCGCTGCCGCAGCCGCTGCAGCAGGCGCCGCGCGCGCGGCCATTTCCGGCGGCCGGGCGACATGTTGGGGGAGCTCCTCTCCAAGATCCTGCTGTAAGTCCACCGCCCTCACACACGAAACTCCCCTTCCGGTTTCCGGCCGCCGAACGAATGTGCCACGCTCTACTGGGTTTTGGCTATCGGCGACGACGCGTGCTGATTCCGGAACCTCGCATCGCATCGCATGCAGGCTCCTGTTCGGGTACGCCATGCCGGCGTTCGAGTGCTTCAAGACGGTGGAGACGCGCCCCAACGACGCCCACATGCTCCGCTTCTGGTGCCAGTACTGGTGAGTCGTCCAAGTCCCTCCCCTCCTCCCCTGTGCCCTCCCGTCCCCTCGGGGCGAGCGACCAATCGCCACCAGGATTCTGTTCCAGCCATTCCGTGTGCCTACTGATCTCTTGTTGCTCTCGTGTCGTCTGCTCATCAGCCTGCCGCGGCTTGGGTGTTGTGTGTTACCATTACCAACTGTGTGATGCATCCCGTGCTTCTTTCTTTCTTTCTTTACCCTTTTTCTGATGTAGCGTGAGATTCAGGACTTGCTTAATACTGTACTTGGATACCGTGGTTTTTATGCAGTATCATGATGCCGACTTTAGTTCCCCCACCTTTTAACCTTTTGCCTCCCTAATAACATAACATAACATAACCTGGACTGCTTTTTTTATTATTGTTTCTCTATAGGCAAAAAGCTCATGCGAAATGATTGTGCCCGCTTTGTTTCTGCCTCTCTTTAGTTCTTCAATTACAAGCTAGCAGTATTATGTTGGTCGTGGTGCGTTAATAGTTGGATGTTAGGTGGACGACTGGATCATGACAGTGTGACACCTCAATCCTGCATTCCACCAAAAAGCAGCGTCAATCAGAGGTTCCTTGCCCATTCCTCAGCCTTATGTCCTCATTGTCAATGATGATTGCCGGCTCTATCTATTTTAGGATTGCTAAAATTGGGCATGTTCTGTTCCAGTTTCAGGTTCGTACCCTCTGCCACCTGAAAATTAGCCGCGAAAACTGCAAATTGTGAGAATCTGCTATTTGGCTTTGTCTGTTATAACCAATGCTCTGGATTGGAGCAGGGTTTGCGTGTAATCAATGACTGAGGCAAGCGCCGGAAAAATATCCGGATGTTACTGCCACTAGTTATAACGTACTAACGGTTTTATAACGTATCTGATTTGGTAGGTACTAATTATTATGATGGTGATCTTGCCTATTGACTGTTTCAAGAATTGGCTTGCCTCGTGAGTTTCCAAGTCTGTTCTGTTTCACGTGCCTCACGAGGGATTCCAGCCATTCCACTAGACCTGCACATAATTTTGTTTGCAATATTGTAAATCTTCCCACCCTCTTGTAGTTTGCGGAGGCATGATTAATTTACGTTATGTAAATGACCCCTATCTTTCCTTTTTTGACTTTCCTACTATGAAGACTCCGATTTCATCTAACGTTCAAATCCAATAGAATTGGTAGTCATTACTTAGTGAATGCACATATCACAAGGCATATGGTGATAAGAAGTAATGTGAATGCCACTTAATTATTATTGGACAATGCAATTTACATCCACCATTTTAAATTGTCCATGTTATTGTACTTTCGATACATGGGACATGTGTGATTCAAAAAACAAGCATTGAATTAGTTGCAAATATGCGCTACAAGACTAGAAACTGTGTTATTTTGTTTGTGTAAAGGTACACACCTTACTGACTATTGAATGGCCAACATATTTTTCCACAAAATAGACTACAAGCTCATAAAATTGTTAATAATGCCAATTTGATTGTTTGTTTAGTTATTTATCTCACTATCTCTTACATAAGAAGATTGATTTTTTTGGCAAGATGAATGTGTCCTGACATGTTATTTTACCTCTGTAATCAGACTTGAGCATGACTAGGCTTGGTCATTGACCAACTAAAATATGGAAGGTTTTTAGACTATCATATTCTTTAACCTAGTTAGTTGACCAATGAGAATTCAAAGTCATCCTAAGAAATGTCGCAGGTGTTGGTTTACCTAATCCACCGTTGACTATACCATGAAAGAAAGAGATAAGAAGCTTCCTATGGATTGCAGACATGGTTTCCCTAGTGAGAAGCCAAAAGTTACTGATACTATGTCATGCACACGAAGTTTCTTTCTCTTTAGGATTGGCATTTCTGGTTTATACTAGCAGATAACAAGTGCCATAGTCTTAAAACGACCAGATAGGTCTTACTGGCCTTTTCCCCAACCCTCAGAAGCTTCTTTTGATAAATGGTGGAGCAAGCTTATGCTGCCATGAGTGGTGTTGTTCAGCAAGACAAACTCGCTCATCATCTTGGGTGCATGGATTCTTTGGAAACACAGGAATTACTGTGTGTTTAATAGCACCTCTCCGAGTTTATCTACAGCTTTGATTCTCTCTGGGGAGGATGACTGGTGTTTAAGGGGCTTTCATTTCTTACTCCTAGCTCGGGTGGTTAAGTTTCTAGGTCAGTTCGTTATTTTTCTTATTCAACAGGTGTGCATATGAATGGTGTTGTTTGACTCTCTTCTTCTGCTAATGCAATGATAAGCAGCTCTCCTGCTTGTTTGAGAAAAAAGGTCATAAAACAACTAACTCTGTTCAGCTAGAATCCCCAAGCATGACATAAAAGAGCATAAGTCGGTTACTTGCTAGAAGGAACAACTAAGGTAACAGAAACAAGATATGCTAGCTTTCACTACTTGCCATAGGGAAAACCAACTGGGAACCTAAGGTGCTTGGCTCCTACCGCACTCCAGAATTGCACTGCATCTTGAATTCTTGACCTGATAGTTGACACCGGCTTAAACTGATGGTCGAGAACCTGGTTGTCAGGCTTCTTCCAGAACATAGATATAACATTGAAACAAAACCTCAAAGCATGTAAACAGGTGGACGTGCAGCTATAATCATGCCAAGATGAATGCTCATCATGACAGTTCGTGTGAGCAAAAATCCTAACTTGATCGACTTAAGGGATGTTCCTTCTGTCCTTCTGGATTCAGACACAACAGCCCATGAGATAGAGCAGATACATTAGGCTTTCTCTGCATTAGATGCACTATCACCAGAAACCAGAGACATTGCAGCGTGCCGATATTTGTGATTGAGCTACAGCCCACACGGGTGGTGCATCAGCCACCTTCGGAGGGAGCGGCTTTGTGCACATGTTTGTTGTTCATGAAATGCTTGTGTGTGGTCATATAAGTATTTCCCATTTCTATATTTGCCATTGATGATTTTGGTATAATTCGAATCAGTAGGTATCGACAGCATTATCTCTTACTGGACCAGTTTGAATTGGACAAGAGTTCTGTTGTTCTATTTGTTGGAATGGCATGGATTTCTGATACAGTGAAAGGTTGATTGGGCTAAAAATTGTTTATAATCTAGTTACAAATATGTGCAGTTGCTTTTTGCTGTTTGGGACCCTTTTTCTGAAACAACTAAGAGAAATAGTTTATTATAACTTATAAGCTGGTTATTTATGTCGAATGTATACCTGTTATAGTGGTTAAACCACCATCACATGCTTTAACATAGCATTTTGAATAGGATGTTAAATTCCAGTTAAATGTGAAAAAAAACATGACCATATACTTGAAGGGGGGAATTTGTTTCATGGCAGTCTTTTGCGGGATGAGGTATTCATACTTAGTGTTCAGTCAATAGTCATGCTGCGTGTTCTAACTTCTAAATGGTCAAAATGATTAAATTGAACATACGAACATGTTCTACTAAAGAAAGATTCTGTGGAACATGAGTTGCTTATTCGCTTGAATTGATTTAATTTTTACCAGGTGATTTTGTTTTTTGTAATCCTCCAACTCTTGTTCATCCCTCCCTTTTGTGGGGTATGGGAGTTGTTCTTGTGAAGGGCTCTTCCCCCTTCTCTTTCTCCCTTTTTAAGATATACAACGTTACGTTTGTTTCTTGTTTTACATGCACAGCTAGTGCTTCACCTTTGTATAAGTTTAAGATTGTTTCAGTTCTTTCCTAGGACAAAAACTAATACTTTGTTCAGATTGTGTTCAAGTATCACTATCAAACTGGCTGAATTGTCCTGTTTGTGAGTGTTTCAGGATTATCGTGGCCATGGTGATAGCTGTTGAGAGCGTGATCTCTTGGTCAGTCCTATTCTCGTTGCCTGCTGATTCTTTCATAGTTTAAAACCTACTGCTTGTTGATGCATATCTGTCCTGCTGTATCCACTCCAGGATGCCAATGTATTCAGAAATGAAGCTAGCTTTCTTTGTCTACCTGTGGTACCCCAAAACTAAGGTACATATTTGTTTCCTCAGACTTTATATTTTGCAGTGTATCATGCATTCGTTTGGGTTGAAGTTTGCTTTAACTTAGTTCATTTGCAGGGAAGTGATGTTGTATATGACACCTTTCTTCGCCCCATAGTGATGCAATATGAACCGAACATCGAGCAGAGATTGCTCCATCTCAGGGCAAAATCTGGGCAGCTAATTTCCTTCTACATGAAGAATTTTGCGGATAAAGGAACAGCCTTCTTCATGGATGTCCTCCGTTATGTTGTATCTGAGAAACCTGAAGGATCCAATGCAGAGGTAATGGCAATTTCTCCATCTGACCTACTCAGTATAGCATGCACTGTATTATATGTTTGCTCGTTGCTCACACATGGCATGTTCCATTCTCGAATAAATTTCTGCATGCAGTTGAATTTCATCACTAATTGTTCGTCTGATATTGCGTTATATTCCTATTGGTTATTTTTTTTCCTGAAAACCATCGATCACAAATTTCTCATACATACGAATTTGTCTTTTCTTGGTAAAGTTCATGTCTGAAGGGCGGGTCTGGTACAAGCGGTAGAGTCTTACCGCATGTGACCGGAAGGTCCCGGGTTCGAGTCGCGGTCTCCTCGCATTGCACAGGCGAGGGTAAGGCTTGCCACTAACACCCTTCTCCAGACCCCGCACAGAGCGGGAGCTCTCTGTACTGGTTACGTCCCTTTTTTTTGGGTAAAGTTCATGTCCAATCAGGCCCATACTTCCCGTGTATATTCATTAGTAGGTTTTTTTACTGATCAAATTTGGTACAATTAAGAAATGTTGTTCCAGCAATTTTCATCTTGGCAAAGTGTCACGGTCAGAAACTGCATTTTACTTGCACTTATACATTTTACCAGTGATTAGCTCTGTTTGTGCTGATCATGTGAAACTCATGCCCAGTTTCTGTACCTAGTCCAAAGAAGTCTGCTTGATTTCTGCTTTTTATCAAGGAGACCTCACCAACGGGCTCCCCTCATTTGTGGCCAAGCTTTTTGTTTTGGACATATCATGACACTCGCTGTTTGGCATATCTGAAGAAACTTCTACTGGCATCAAACAAACTGTAGCTAACACTGAAAGCCCAGCCCCCCCAAGGCCCCAACCCTGCCAACTCACTCCCGGCTTTGTTTCCCTCTCACAGCCCCACAAGCAGACAGCAGCAGTGGCGGAGCCTCGTGGAGGCCAAGCTGGGCATCGACCCCCCCTTGCTTGACTATGCTCCACTGTTATTCCTGTGAATGCATTCATTGTTTCATGCGATAGAGAGAAGAAAAATATTTAACTAAGAACACAGCAGGCTGTAGTAGCTAGAAGTTAGAGGCAAGATTAGCCCCTCCTTTGTTTGATGCCACGCTCCGCCGCTGGACAGCAGCATTATCCAATCCGCCCGTGCCTGCTTGCCGACTGCCAGGTGCTTGCCTGCCTGCCCCCTCTCCCCGCCCATGCGGCCCCTGGCGTTATCAGCCTCTCGCTGCTCCCATTCAATCCTGGCCCGCTGGATAGTGACGCCCAACCGGCTCTGCTCTGGTATAGTGTAGCAGCCCTAGCGGAGAACGTGGGCCCTTTTTGTCTGTTCCACAGACCAATCCTCGCCTGGCCAGCTCTGACCTTCTTGTCTCATCCCTTTCAGGCTCACCTTCCCTTCCTTGCATTGTCCCAGTTTAGCTCCCATGAGGCATGAGCCATGAACTACTGAAAGCTCACTTCTTTCTGATCTGACCTGGCATGGTCTTTGCCTCTTTGGGCCTTTGGGGCATCATCAATTCATCAGGAACTATAGAAATCGAAACCCATGTATTGTCATGTTGTAACATGAAAAGTATTTTCACTTGCTGAGGGCCTGAATAACCTGTTCACTACTAGTAGCAGTGTGATATCAGCAGACATCGTGTCGTGTCGACTGGTTGTTGCGTGGTCGGTACACGCCGATCTGTATAAGTACAAAGCTCAGCCAGTACAATAAGGCAGCAGCATCGTATTCGTATCCACCAAACGGACATGTGCGTCCACGTGCACGAATCACGGTGCACTGATTGCGAGGCACTGCAGACGGTTTTTCTCGCAACAGGCACTGACAACGGTTTCTTCCGTTTTTTTTTTGTTTTGTTCCGTGCGCAGCTAAGGAACAAGAAGTCCGGCTGGAGCCCCTTCGCGACCAAGCGCCGGCCACCATCGCCGCCGCCGGAGCCCCTCTTCGACAGCAACCCAGACGCCGCTTTGCTGGCCGAGGCCCTGCGCGGCGCCATCGGCGCCAGGCCCCGGCGAGGGTCCAACGACAAGCATTACTAGAGGGAGTTACGAGACTCTTACAGCGACTTTAGGGATGATTATTTGTACATAGAATGAATGAAATGAACGAACCAATCAAAGAAAGGCAGAGAAAAAAAAAAGGATAGTACATAGCAAAATCCAGCAATACATTCACCATTGTGAAGAACAGATGGATATGTATCAAGTATGGTTCAAGTGAATGTGATATGATAGAAATGGTTAGTTTTTTCTTGCGTCAATTTGTTGCAGTCTGCCTCGTTTTCTTGTTTTCTCATTTAAATCATTATTCTCTATCATATACATTGCACCAATGATTAGTTCATGACGATTAAGAAATCGTCACAGAATCAAAGCTAACAACTACTCATAATATGCTGTTAGTGTAATCAATTCTTCCTTCTAGTATGATCTCAGCTTTCATTTCTGCCTAATCCTAGCAAATTATTTACACAAATTTCACCTCAAGCAAAGCCCATAAATTATCGCAAAGTAAAAAGAAAATCCTAAGAAAAAAAATCCTAATCACACAAGAACCGGATGAGAAGGAACAGAGAAACAGCAACCAGGAAGCGCACGGCGGAGTCCGGACGAGTCATCAAGGCCGGAAGAGCGCCCCGATGAAGCTCAGGCAGCCGAGCAGCAGGCGGCAGAGCGGGCTGCGCCAGCGCCGGCCGCGGCGGCCGGGGTCCTCCCTCGCGGACGGCGTCATCTGCAGGTACGCGTACGCCGCGTGCTTCACCAGCGGGTGCCGGATCATGTGTATGTCCCCGTAGCTGCCGCACCCGCTGCCGCCGATGCCGCCGCAGGCCCCGGGCGAGCCGCCCACCGCGGCGTACTCCGGCGACGACAGGATGTCCCGGAGGCTGGTGTACCCGTGCCCCCCGCCGCCGCTGCTGTTGCTGTCGTCGTCGCCGTCGCTGCCGGCGCCGTTGGGTATCTCGATCACGGGCGGCGGCGGCCACCGCGGCGCGGCCGGCGACGGCGCCGCGCCGCGCTTCTTGGGCGTGCGCCAGTGCCGCAGCTCGAAGTCGCCGGCGGCCGAGCCGTTGGCGAGCGGCGAGCGCGGCCGGCGGAGGCACTGCTGCGACGTCGGCGACGGCGAAAGCTTCTGCGGCTCCGGCACGACGGCGGCTGGCGCCGGCGGCATAGCAGAAGCGATGGGAGGATCGAATCAAGCGGCGAAGGTGCCTCGAGCGGCCGGAGACGTCGACGAGTACTCGCTGGTGGAACGGTGGGGTGCAGAGGAGGAGGGAGTGGAAGGACTGGAGTAGCCGAGCCGAGAAGGAGGAGAAAATTCTCTCGTTTCTTTTTGGACGGGTGTGGTATATAGCGGCCCTCCAAAAATACCGCGAAATGGCACAGGATGGCCCACACGTCATGGACCGTGGAGCTGTTTGGAGAACGGAGTCGCGTGTGAGTTTCGGGAGTGGGATGAGGACATGAATGGAATTTTGGGGTCTAGTGAACCAGAAACGGCTTGCCAGGCCTCGCGGCGAGCGGATCGGGGTGGCGGGGTGGGGCCCGCGGGAATTATTGGATCCACGTCAGCACGCGCCTGACTGCGTCCCGTTCGTCTCTGTTCGGCGGCCCGTAAGACTAGCCACAGTGTGTGCGATGCTTAAAAAAAATTTATCCTACCAGCTGTACCGGTGCCTGAACTCCTGCTTGCTATCCACATGCGTGGACCCCAGCCACACCCCCTTTCCCCTTCCTTCTCATTCGTTTCAAGCGCGAGTCCGGTCAGCCGCAGTCACCGCGGTCGCCTCCCATCGCATTTTTTTTTTTATGTTTAGGTATCGGTGAACCTACTTGACCCGGTGTCCAGTTTTTCTAGCAACTCGGCATCGACCACAATGTTAGGCATCGATGCTTGGAGAGGAGAGAGAGTGTTTGGGCACCGACATTTTACAACATTGTGGCTAGTCTAACTGTGTGTATTTAGAGTCAACAGTGTTTTTCTCTCACACCAAACTAGCCAGCAGTACTTTCGGCCCACGGTTTATAAGCCAATCCAGCCGAAACGAACAGGCTGCTTGATTTCGTTAGTGTCTCAAGTAGTTTTGCGCAGTTACAAATCCTAGCACTGATAGTTTTTCTTTTTTTTCTTTGTGAAAAGAACCCTAGCCCGGCACTTCTCAAAATAGTACTCCGTCTGAAAATATAGGCCATGTTCGTTTCGCTAAAATTTGGCTTACGCTACTGAAGAATAGGGCGATAGAGGACACGAAGATGCAAGAAGACCAGGCTTTGTAGGTTTTCACCAACAATTAGAGTCTGTTTGAAAGAGCTAACTCCACAAAAACAACTCTAGAGATCATGGATCTAGTCTCTGAAAAACATATTTGGAAGAGCTCCACCACCCTAGACTTGAACTCATATGCAATTATAAAAGATTATTTAGGGTCCAAAATAAAAAATGACAATAATGCGGGGTTGCTTCCTCCATTGGTCAGACGGGGTGCGGTTGAAGGCTTGTATGCTTCCTCCTTCGCTGGCACATCACGTTCATGCTCGACAATCCCATTGTTGGGCACAACACCATCTCTTCGGCACACTGGCTACTTGAGGCTACCATAGGAAGTCCTAGGCCAGTCGTGTCGAGCACCCGAATAGGACGGGGTAGGCCAACTCCGGCTTGGATCCTAGGTTTAGGCGGTGGAGAAGCACATGAATGATACATTATGATAGATTTTAGGTCATGGGCGACTTCTAAGGGGAAGGGTCTAGAGGCGGCGATGGCGTGAATAGGAGCATTGGCACTGTTTCTATCGAGGAAGGCGAGAGGTCGTGCATGGGGGAGAGGAGACTAAGAGGAAAAGAAATGAACCGCTATGGGGGAGGGGATGTGTAGCCATTTCATGGATCTAGGAGCTACATCCATATTTTGGTTCATATGGAGTTGGTTGAGCCGAGAGTGTTAGAAAAAACGAGAGTGAAGCTGGTTTTTTTTATCTAGAGTTGTAGGGAGCTGTCCCAAACACTCCCTTAGTTATTTTTATGATATACGTAAATTTAATTTGAGAAAATATATTAATGGATTTGAATTTCATATCTCTCTCAATAATATGTCGTTGGATATTGTATAGGTAGATAAACTAGTATTCAAAGTATAATTTTAAAGGCCTTTTTAAATCATAATACATCTTGTGATAAAAAATATTCAGAGTAACCTTCTGACTGCTGGTTTGCATAACAATTCATATTTAATGGTTGGTGTATTAGCTAAGGATTGTTATTAGATTGTGCTAGTGTAATCTTCATTTACCCTTGGTATATATAGTCTGAGATTATAACAACTTACCATTATGTACCAAAAATGAAACCTTGTGCTTTCAAATAGAGTATCTCCTTTTCAAATTAATGTCACCTAGCAGGATGTAGATGTTGCATTATACGTACTCTCTCCATTCAAAACTACAAGGCTTTATTTCATTTCATTATGACAAGTCGTCGTTGGCCAAAGACTTGACCTCATAAAACCAAATTGGAGGGAATACTTACTAGTCAGTTTTACAGTGTCCGACTTGTCTCACAAAAGATATTGAGGTACACAAGGTTATCTTAACTTAATGAGATAATTACCTATATGGCCTAGAAAAAACTAGACCTTTCCTGTATGGCCTTTTTTTTTCCTGAACTTATCTATAAGGCTCAAAAACAAATTTTGTTTACCCAAGTGGCCTTCCGTCCAATCTGTTATGGTGGACTGTGAGTCAGCCCACTGTGACTTATGCTAAATGACAAAAATACACCAGGTTCCTTCTTTCCCCATCCGAATCTCACGAAGACGGCAGTCGTGGTTTCGGGGAAAACAAAAAAGAAGCGCACGGTGGCCGGCGAATGGAGCCTGCCCGCGCCCTAGGTGCATGCCCGGCGCCGGCGGAGCCATGTGCGGCACCGGGTCCGCACAGATCCAGGGCGACGGCGGCGCAACCAGGGCGCGCGCAGTTGCCGACCGTCCACGGCCGCAGCCGTCCGCGCGGCTACCCGCCCGGTTCGCCACGCCCGGCCGGGGCTCGTCCGGCCCCGCGAGCAAGCCGATACCGTACCACCTGAGAAGCCCGGCCATGGCAAAAATCGAACTGTTTCCTCCCACGAGGTGGATGGTTGCGGCACCGAAGGAAGGAAAGCATCAGGGTCTCGTCCTCAGCAGCGCCGGCGCGGGTCCATCTTGTGGTGGCGGCGCAGCCAGACGAGCGTGCGGGCGCCCTTGGGCGAGGGCTCGCATGCCAGCCTTTCCGTCTCGGCCCGCTGCGGCATCTCCCACATCACTTGCACGTCCTCGTACGCACGCACACGTCTGGACGTCGTCGACTCGTCGTGAAGCTTCACTAGGACGCTGTGGCCGCTACCTGAATGCATGCAAACACAAGAGTTAGTTTCGTCAGCACAAGCACATATCGCCGGCTGCAGCTCGCACCGAGCAGGGACGTGCGCACGGGCGGATCCAGCAAGGCGCATGGTCGAACGCGGACGCGCGGGTGGCGAGGACGGACGGGGTCCAAGAAGCGACCATGCGCGGAGGAGCTTGGGGCCGGGAGTGTGGCGTCGCATCCACCGCCACGGTGCGTCAAGCTTAAAGATGCCAATGGGTACCCGAAATCCGACGTTTTACCCAATAAAGAGACAGGTATTGGAAGAATTATTCATCCGCGGGTACACTAGTGGGTAAAAATCTCTATCCATCGGGTATGCGGGTACGGGTATGGGAACATACTACCCACACCTGTGTACCCGTGGGTAATTTATACCCGCCTTGATAACACATATTTATTCATTAATTACTACGGAAAACACATATATATGATATATCTGTGATGATTATACTATTACTTAGTGTAGTTTTATTCCTATGTTATAATTATTGATTTCTATTGAGAAAGAATTGACGATATATGATTCAAATAATATAATATATTCATGTTGTTTTGGTTTGTAGCGGGTATGTACTTGGGTACGGGTTACCCGTCGGGTACAAATTACCCGCGTGGGTGTGGATATGGGAGCATTTTTCTACCCGCGCGCGGGTACGGGTAACCCGACGGGTAAAATTTCATCTCACGGGTACAGGTATGGGTGACTACTACCCGTCGGGTATGTACCCGTTGCCATCTTTAGTCAAGCTCGGCAGGCGGTTGCGGCTTCTGCTCCTGCATTGGAAGGCGGCTCTTTTTTTCCCAAGGGTAAAAGGGTCATTTTATCTATCACTTAACACCATTAGGTTTCTAAAATGGATGGAAGGCCATACAGGTAAGTGAAATTTGTTTTCGGGCCTTATAGGTAACTTCATGAAAAAAAGACTATATAAGAAAACCGTAGTTTTTGAAGGCCATAAAAGGAATTCTCTCTAACACAATTGAGTGGTACTAATATATTGGAGCAACACATCACTGGTCATTGATTTCAAGGCTGTTGGTGTTGTGAGGATATAGACAATTTTGTGATCTCTTCGTTCTTTTCATTTGACGTGACCATTAGTAACATATTTAAAAATACATGCATGCATGTTAGCATTATGAAGAAAAAACACTGTTGCATTTGTCTTTATAAACGCGGCCATAAAAGTACAGAATCATACGAAAACGTAGCGGGCACATTTACTTGTCCAAGTCTACAAAGTCAGCACTAACCAAATATAAAAAAGACGACATCGAGACATGTATTATCGAGTACGAAATCTCCAAGGCAACAAGAGAAGAATAGCCTATGCACGCATAGCCTATGGATAGCACCAAAGACATCCGATCCCCATCACAAGTTTGGGGCCACTACAAAGAACATTTCAAAACAAGCTAGTAGTTGAGAGAACTAGTAGCAATCACCTAGCTGCCCTTGTTGATGAATCGAATGGCCAGGATGAGAGGCCACCTAATGGCCCCCCAAGCCATGCAACGTGGCGCAGCTGGAGAGATGTGGCCCTAATTTCGCCGCATTTTGATCATTGCCCTCCTCGCGTCGCAGTAGCTGCCTCCCGTGGGCCCGGGCGCCGTGGGGCGGGGCCCGGTGGGGATCGGTCCGACTCAGCAATCCGCGTCGGAATCTTCTTGGTCCACGTCGTCGGAGTGTTTTGTTGTGCTCAACGCCAGCCAGCATTGCGCACCAGGATAATATTCTTTGGGAATCGATGAAGAACAATCAGGAATTTTG